ACATTTAACTTTTAGTTTTGGTCTAATTTTGAAAAAGGCCCAAAAATAATGGAAAGAAAAGTAGACTTTGTGAATTTGGTGATTCAAAAACATGTTTATTGTTTTACATTTCTATTTAATTTGTAGGTCCCATTTCAATTTGGAAGCTGAGATAACCAAATGTTTTTAAGTTTCAACACTCAACCAAGAGACATTTTGTCATAAACATGTTGTCATAATCCCGAGACAAGATTGTCACTAAGAAAGACAAAATAACTAGTAAGAAAGTAACTAGAAATTAAATAGACCCACAAATTTCAGTGCATAGAAGATGGATACCATTTCCATAACTTCATATTTTTCCATGTGAGAAACCAAATGGCTCATCTGTCATCGCCAAAAGCAGTTATTTAAGCACTCGATTTTTGGTTTTTTCAAATGTAGCTTATTTTTTATTGGGAAAACTGCAATTAAGTCCTTACATATTCCCCTCATAATCGGTTTAGTCCTTATATCTTTTTTTATTCAATTAAGTCTAAAAAACCGGTAACCGTATTCAATTTAACCATTTTAGCCGGTCAACAGGTCATCCAACTTTCAAAAATTACATTTTTAGCCCAATTTCGAAATTTATTACAAACTTGATCCAAAATTTACACTTTTGGCCCAGATTTTAAATTTTATTACAAATTTGGTCCAAAATTTTCCCTTTTGGCCCAAATTTTAGAATTTTTTTTATAAATTCATCCTAAATTTAGTTTTTTTTTACAAGTTTTTTCTCAAAATTTTATTTTGAATATGTTTTTTCTTTATAAAATCATATTTATACAAAAAAAAACATATTTTCACATAAAAATTCTTATATTTTCTATATAATTTAAAAAAACATTTTTATATACAAAATATCTATTTATAAATATAGGTATTTATTAAGTAGGGAAATTGTCAAAAAAGTCTTAATATTTTTAGAAAAGTTACACTTTAGTCCTAAGAATTGTTTTTGAACGAAAAAGTCCTAAAAACCGGCAAAAAATTTGCAGTTTGATCCTTTTTGACCGGGTGGAACCGGTACCAAATTAATTTGGGACTGTTTCGTAAACTAACCCAAAATATTAGGACTTTTCTGTATACAAAAATATTATGACTTTTCTGCAAACAAAACCCTTGTTATTATTATTATTATTATTATTATTATTATTATTATTATTATTATTAAAAATATAAATAAGAATACTATTTTTTGAACTTGTATTATTAATATTGTTAATAATACATATAAATGCATTTAAATGAAAAAATAATATTGATGACATTGTTTAAGGGTGGAGGTGGAGGAGATGGTGATGTTTTTAGCATTGAAATCATGAATGTCGGTTTGTATATTTTTACTTTGTATATGGTCATTTCACATTTGTTATTATTGTTTTCAGTTAAGAATATTAATACTTAACAATTTAAAAGAAGTTGCATATTTGTAAATTTTTTTATAAATAGTTTAAGGTAGAAAGATTTCTCACTTTATATATAAAATTGTTTAAGGTAGAAGAATTACTTTTCAAATCCAACAGATCCACTACAAACATCTACATATGTAGCCCATATCCAAAATCAAAAGTATTAATTAAAATATCTTGTTTAATAAAAAGTAATAGGAATAATTCAAAAGTATTAATCAAAATTCAAAAGTATTAATCAAAAAAATATGTCGTATTACTTTTTATTAAAAAATGTATTGTAATTAATACTTTTGAATTTTGATATGGGCTATCTATGTAGATGTTTGTAGTGGATCGGTTGGATTTGGAAAGTAATCCTTCTACCTTAAACAATTTTATATACAAAGTGAGAAATCTTTCTACCTTAAACTATTTATAAACAATTTTACAAATATGCAACTTCTTTTAAATTGTTAAGTATTAATACTCTGAATTGAAATCAATAATAACAAATGTGAAATGACCATATACAAAGTAAAAATATACAAGCCGGCATTCATGATTTCAATGCTAAAAGCATCACTATCTCTTCCACCTCCACCCTTAAACAATATCATCAATATTATTTTTTTCATTTAAATGCATTTATATATATTATTAACAATATTAATAATACAAGTTCAAAAAATAGTATTCTTATTTATATTTTTAATAATAATAATAATAATAATAATAATAATAATAATAATAATAATAATAATAAGGGTTTTTGTTTGCAGAAGAGTCATAATATTTTTGTTTACAGAAAAGTCCCAATATTTTGGGTTAGTTTACGAAATAGTCCCAAATTAATTTGGTACCGGTTCCACCCGGTCAAAAATGGTCAAACTGTAAATTTTTGGTAGTTTTTAGGACTTTTTCGTTCAAAAAAAAATCTTGGGACTAAAGTGTAACTTTTCTGAAAATATTAGGACTTTTCTGCAGATTTCCCTATTAAGTATTTGATAAATGTAAAATCTTTATGATTTCAAGGAAATAATATATTCA